GCTGCTTGTTGAAGTCAAAAGCCACTTGGCTTAGCCAATCCTTAGTGCAAAGAAGGGCCTCAACTGTTTTAGGAGTCAAAGACGCCCTAAAAGGATCCACAACCCTTTTTCCCATACTAAACGCAGCTTCCGAAGGCACACTTGAAACAGGGACAGCAAACACATCCCTTGCAATCTTAGATAAAACTGGAAATCTTGGAGAGTTCACCAATCTAGCAAATCAAAGTATGCTATTTCTGGATCTTGAGCTGCCTCTAATAAATACTTGTCCACCTTATTCTTAATTTGAGCCACGACTCTATCTTTTCTTATTCTCACAAATTTTTTAAGTCTTGGATCATTGCATTCAACTCTTACCTACCCTCGACTTTCTACATTAGCCTCTGCAGTAGATTGGGCAACTGCTGGTTCCTCTTTCTTATAGGCCTCATACATTTGCATTAAGAGATCCTTCACCCCTTCTACCATCACAGTAACCTTCGAATCATCACTTTCTAACTCATCAAAGCTATATTGGACATAGTCCATTTTGTAACGGGGATCAAGCACCACCGCCACAATCAAAACTTGGTTCACTTCTTGAATATTACCCCAATACTTATCGAACTTCTTTTTCATTGAAGTTGCAACTTTTTTCAAAAAAATGTCTTCACTTACAATCATTGCATTCAACTCATCAACAATAGAAAGCATCTCACTGAATGGGATATTGGAAGTAACCGTCTTATATGCGCTAAATTTTAAGGTAGCCTCGTAAAATCTTTTCAAGAACTTCACGAAAGCTCTTGCATACTCCCAATCCACAACGGTTGGAGGCTTCAACTTTTTTTTAGTGCAGATTTCCCCTTCTTGAACCTTTCTTTTCTTCTTTTTCGGAATACCATCGTCATGATCACCACCACTTTGATGAAAGTAAGATGCATAGTCTGCTGCCTCCTCTTCCAACTTATCAAACCCTCTTTGCAACTTTAAGGCAGCTTCTAACATAAGATATACTGAGTTCCACCTTGTTTTACACTCCAAAGGAAATAAACCTTTGCTGTCAATTTTTTGCAAGGCCAAACAATGCCTAAATTTGTCCAACCTAGATGGGGACGACCTTGTATATACACAAGCTTTGCGAATACTCTTAATTGAGTCATGCAATTCACTCAGCCGATCAAAAACTATCAAATTAAGGATATGCGCACAACACCGCATATGTAAACAATCACCATCTAGCAAAAGAGTGCCCCAAAGCTTCAATTGCCTCTTCATATGCCTAATGGCCCCATCATTAGCCGTAGCATTGTCAAGTGTAATAGTGAAAACTTTATCTATTCCCCAATCATGCAAACAATCCTCCACAAGTCTCCCAATAGCCTCACCTCTATGATTTGTAATTTGACAGAAATTAATGATTCTCTTATGCAATTTCCAGCTATCATCAATGAAATGGGCTGTCAAAGCCATATAGTTCACATTTTTCAAGTAAGTCCAAGTGTCCGTGGTAAGCGACACTCTTTGTGAATTTAGATTTAATACACTCTTGATTTTGACCTTTTCTTCTTGAAAAAGATCCCACACATCTCTAGCAATGGTTCTACGAGATGGTGGATCAAATCTAGGATGACACTATCTCATAAATAGCCTAAAACCGACACCTTCCACATGCCTAAATGGAAGCTCATCAAGTATTATCATCTTCACACAAGCAATTCTACTTCTTTCCTTACTATATGAATGCGGAACTACAGTTCCTTTGTAGTCAAATAAAAGAACTTTTTGTTTGTTCTCCTCTCTTAATGGACACCCCCCGTACATTTATCTCTCAAATGTTGCATCATTATAGATGTCCCATTTTTTGTGGGATCACATGCATAAGATGCACGACAATACTTACAAGAAGCTCTAGGTCCTATATTACCCCCTGGTTCAAATGATTCCTTAATGAAATGTTTCCATACCTCCAATGCTTTCCTAGTAGGCTTGATCTTTCCCGAAGTGGGAGGACGTGAAGGGAGTGTAGCTGCTTCATCCCCAACTACTTGTGGTGTATCATCTGTTGTGGGTGTACGACTAGCTTCCATATTTGACATTTTTAAGGCCTATAAAATGAAAAACATATTCATAAGCAAACTCATAAACATGCCAAAACATGTTACACTCCAAATGTAATAAACATTTACACACCAAACAGATTTTCAAAGCTATGAGTCAAAACTTTTACTTCTTTATTATTGTTTTTCAAAACATATATAAATTAAATCCATAGACTATAGATTAAAATTATTCACAACTACTTTTATACAAGTAAAGTAAATTGTAATTATATTATCAATTAAACTGCATAATCTTGACTTGAACAATAACCCAATTAAACTGCATAATCAAGCCTTTTACAGAAATTTGTTCCTTAATACTTCATAGTACACTAACTCATTCTATCTAATAAAGCTAATCAAGGATAACAATTGACAGCTAAACTAGTCTTGAATTAGAGGCTTTTATGTGTTCAGGCTTCAATACACACCACAGAATCACAGATATCTATAGGCTATAACAGTTACAATTTACAAAATAAAACACATATATAGGAAGGAAAGGAAACTTACCCTTGATTTTCAACACAAGTACTAGTTCAAAACTCTCCAATTTGCTAGATAAAATGTCTGCATATGCAAGAAGTACGAAAATTTGGGCTACACCAAAACCCCCAATAATTAGGGTTTATAACAGAAACAAAAATCACAAAACAAAAAAAGAAATTGTTGAGGAATGAACTAACCTTTGCATAGAGAAACCTTGTTTGAAAAATGAGATGAGAGAGTAGAATGAGTGATGGCAGACAGAGAGATGAGAGGCGTAGAGATGAGAGACTGAGAGATTGAGAGACTGAAAGATGAGAGGGAGGTGCGTGTGACTCAGGCTATGAAGAAGAGGCGCCGCCGACAATGCGACGGCGCCAAGTCGATGGTGAGTGGTGGTGACAATGTGAGGCTGAGGCGACGTTGAAGAGGCAAAGGGGAGGAGAGATGGATGAGACACGACTAAATTGGGATGATCGACCTAGATTAAGTTGTGAAGGGCTACGATATACTGTGCAAATGCGCACAGAACATAAAATCATAATCTAATAGAAATCAACCACGTGTATTATAATTATTTAATTACATATAATTTAACATACCCGGTTCAATCTGGTTCACAGACGATTTTTAAAATTAGAAACCGGGACCGATTCAGTCTGATTCATGCACCATTAAAAATAAAAAAGTAGAGAAAAAAACCACACCAAATCGAACCGACCGGTTTTCGGTCCCATATGCCCAGCTCTAGTTAAAATCATCAACATTAGAAAGGCAAACACCGCGGGAGGCTTTGGTTGAATGGTAGTTCCCCAAAAGCTTTTCAATGAAGGGTTATATTGATAAATACTTACCAGTACTTATAGCCCATGAACAGAACACTCACTGTTCATGCACCCGATAAGTCCAACCCTCTACGTACTGGTCCATCTTCTATTGATCTCAATTATTAACCATACTTAAGCGTTTAATTAAGCCCCTAGTTGTGGGGTAAGGCTCTTCCAATTATGCTTTAGTAGTGAGGTATCCCATGCATGTAGGCCTAGGACAAATCAATAAGCTCTCATTGTACTTACGTGTCAGTTATGCCTTAATTGTTATAGTTCAATTCTTATTTTCATTTCAAACATGTGCGTATATATCTACATACACATGCATCTCAAATTATACAAAATTCCCAAAGCTGACTTTTCAACTTAAGTACTTGTTGGATCTCCCTTTAGGTATATTTGGCAATATTATTATATTATATTTGAATTATTTTAACTTGAGATCTCTTTCAACAATAAAAAAATAAACGAGCGCTGCCATTGGTTGGTATATCTTACTACATTAATCTAAGACTACATAAAATGACTTTATAATCATTTGCACAAATATGAAAACATGTTAATAATTATGTAATTATGTCAACCGTCCATAGCTCGGTGATAAGAGTATTTGTCTTCAGAAATATATGTAATTCTAAGTATATCCAGTCAACTAACAAAATCTAGTAATTAACTAAAAGGCAACCATCGAATTTTCTTTACAGGACAAATAAATACACTAATAATAAAACCAAAGGTATTAATTAGAGAGACTTCAATTAGTCACAATAAAAATTAACTAAAAGGCAACCAGCGAATTTTCTTTACAGGACAAATAAATACACTAATAATAAAACCAAAGGTATTAATTAGAGAGACTTCAATTAGTCACAATAAAATTGGATACCCCTGTGGCATCTCCTCTGGAACAATTAGAGGATAGTGTGTGCCTCAAAGAAGTATGATCTTGTTGAGCACAAAATTTAAAAACAAAAACGATACATAACCCAAGCGACATGCCAATATTTAAGTGTGGTGGTGAGAACATTTGAGACTGCATTATCTACACAGAGAGGAGAAGAGGCAAAGTAAGAGGGTTAGGTGAGTTGTTCTAGAAAAAGGAAACAGAGTTCAAAAGGGTAGAGGCTAAAGAAAGACGCATAATTTTCTAGAATTAAATGGTGAGAGGACCACAATATCTTGTACAGTAAAAAACTAGATGATGCTACCTTATTCCTGTGCCTATTGAACGCAGCAAGTACTGGAAACTTGGGCAGTGGTGGTCGGGACTCGGCTCAACCCCAAAATTTTTAATCCCACCTGATGTTCACTTTCATCACACCCTCCCTCCCTACTAGGGTTTTCACAAAACTACTTTGTATGACATTTATGCCCCTCCCCTAAAAATTTCAAGAGAGCTGTTTTCTCAACACACGCGAATGCGATGCAAAATCGCTCATCCCCTTCTTTTTATAATTAAAAATAAACAAGGAATGAAAATAAGAGACGAAAAGTCCAATCATAGCATTGCAAGATGAGATTTCCAAGGTCAACTGTAATTCCCTAAACCCAAGTGAGCAATTATCACAGTTCAGAAATGCATCTCATCGCTTCTCGCATAAATCAATTCAAAACTCAATATATAAAAGCAAACCTGAGCTCGCATGACAACAAGTTCTTACATATATATATATAATTGATAATCTAAATCAAAACAAGACCAAAACCCATAGTAAATAGTTTCCATTACTCTTCTTCCTAAGAAAACAAAAACCCTAAGGTCAGGAGAAGAGGAAGATACATGCAAACTCGTTAGATCCATACTTTCTTTCTAGCTATCTAGCTCTAAGCTTCAGCTACCTCATCGAACTTCAAAGCATAACTTGCATCGCCCATCACTCAAGAGAGATCAGTCTCTCGGGCTTCAGTTCTGGACCCTGGCCGCAAAACCACCCATGAACTCAGGATACTGGAACATGTTATTATCGACCATGGAGTAATCTTGGCCGCCCAGCTGGACGTTGATAGGCACGTGATCATTGTAAAACGGTACGGCCTGCGTCGTCGGTGATACTTGTGGTTGATAATCCATTCCCACACTGAAACTGTTTTCAAGCTGCTGTGGCTGGGGCAGCAATTCTTCGAAGTTATAGCATACACCTCCATGCTGATGAGGATGATTCTTTGTCGGCCCATCAAAGGGAGGAGCTTGATTTGTAGACACAAAAGAGGCCTGGCTGGAACTTGAAGGAATGTTGTTCATACTATGGCCACCATAGTCAGCTGATTTTGGAGGGTCCATTGACTTCTTGGAGGTGGGTTTTGGAAAGAAGCGGTGAATGACCTCTTCTAACAACCCAGAATCAGATGGTTCCACAGCAAAGAAATCTGAATGATCGTCATGGGTGGTGGGTTTGGTGGAAGAAGTAGTAAAATCCATGAGAGGAACGGTAGTAGCTACAGTCATGGAAGATGATGAGCCAGTACCAGTAGAACTGAAATTAGGACTTGCTGACATATTGGTTTCATGAAGTTGACCACAGCTGGTAGTGTTGACCAAAGCAGCTGAAGAAGAGGAGGAAGAAGAACCACTGATATTGTACGGAAACTGGTTATAAACCGGAGATGGGTTTGGTGAGGAATTGATGAAGTTCCTAAAGAAGAGCATGTTCAAAGAAGAGGCAGTAGCGTCATTATTATTAGCTGTTGAGTACTGAGTTAACGGCGTTACAGACGGCCAACTCGAAGAGTGGCCAGCGCCGTAGCCGTTGCGGCTCTTCACGGACGGCTGAGATTGCTTGTGGAAGCTGAACGGAGGGAGGAGATGGTCGTTGACGGCGGCATGAGGAGGGGAAGACGGGTAGACAAAGTTGGTCCGAGCCTTGAGCCCGCGCATGGCTCGAGCAGCGCAGTCGTAGGCGCAGGCCGCTTCCTCGGCCGTGTCGAAGGTGCCGAGCCAGCGCCGCTCTTTGGACTGTGGGTCCCGGATCTCGGCCGCGTAACGACCCCACGGCCTTCGTCGTACGCCTCGGTATCTCATTGCGCCGCCGCCGGTGCCAGTGCCTGCGGTTGTTGTCGTGGTGTCTCTCAGCATGCGCTTGTTGGTCGGGGAAGCGGTGGTTGACTTCCTTGGTGGGTCAGAGATGGGGCCGGGTTCGGTGGAGCGAGTAAACCCGTTCAGCCTTCTAAATGCCTCTTCCATTCGTTTTGTGAAGTTTGAAGGAAGAATGAAATTGGCGTGTTTGTGATGGTGGAAATTGCAGAGTGGGGTGTTTGTTTTGGGTGTATTTATAGCTGAGGAAGGAGGAGAAGTGAGGAGGAGCTGGAAATTGACTGATTTTTAATTTTAATTTTGATTTTTCATGCATGGAGATGGAGGCAAATTTATAGAGAGATGGTGCCACAAAATTCGAAAAGAAAAGGCAGGGGAGTGTTTTAATTTTCGAGTTAAATTCCAACGACTAGGATCTTCTACTGGCCCAACGGTCCATGACTTGGAGGGCCATGATTATCTTCCCAATCTTTGTTTCTTTTTTTTAAGTTCGTCATTTGTCCTCTCTCTCTCTGTATTAATTAGATCTTACCCTTTTTGAACACTAAGTAATGGTTAATAAATATATTGGTACAGCTTGCTGTCTAATACACATTGGTGTAACAAAAAGTGGAGGACACCCACTTTAATTATTCCAAACTGTATCAATTCTACTCGACATTGTTTAATTTCTTTGAGCAGAAACTTGAATCCAATAGTTATTGCTTATTGGGGATGTATTCACATAAAAAAACCAACCACAATTTCTTTTTTATGGGCAATCAACGAATTTATTTAAGGGATAGTCACTATTATACTCAATATATGAGCCCAAATTATAAAAAAAAAATCATATATAAAATGAACTTTAAAAATACACCCAAAGCCTATTTACAACATAACAAAAAGGCTTTTAATTTCTTTTAATTTACAAAACAGCCATTGATTTCTTAAAACAAACCCAACCCTAAAACCTCATTAAAAAAAACCTAAAACACTCAATAGGGCATTAAAGTAATTTAATAATCAAAATTAAATTCAAAAGAGTCAACCGTCATTTATTGAATTTTTTTTGGGTTTGTTTATAGAAATTAAATGGTGTAGGGTTTATTTATATTATTAATGCTAAGAATGGATATATGACTGAATATATCTTTTTTTTATATACAAACGATATTCTATTTTAAGAACCAAAAAAAATAATGTTCACTAAATAGCCTTGGTCTATTTCCAAGAGCAATGAAGAAAAAGTTGTAAGTAAGAAAATGACTGATGGAGATGGTAAAGATTTTAATGACATGGAGTAAAAATATAGGAGGTTTCTTTTCAACCTCAACGCTCTCTTTTTCTCTCAAAAACTGTAAAACGCTAAAACAAGCAAAAGAACAAAACACCAAATGAAACCCCCATTTCTCAAAATGGCACTTCGAAAACATCTGCACGTCTCCATCCAACATGCAATGAAACCATGAAAGAGCCTGGAGTTTTGAACAAGCATATAAAGTAGCTTCTGGCTTCTGGCTTCTGCCGTTGCTTTTTGCTTTTTCGTTTCTATTTTATAATCAAAAAAATTTCTAGGGAGTTGCAGAAGAAACTCTTCTTCTCTGTCCCTTGTTGTGATTAACATTCTGAATGATTACACTGGCGGCGCTCAGAATTTGTTCCTCCCACTTTGGCTTTTGTAATATTTTATTGCTTTCATGCATGCTACCAAAAAATTTCCATCTTTGCAACTTCGATCTGGTTCTGCATTAGTGATGGATTTAGGGTTTGAAAACCAAAGATCAATGGGGTCACATGGAGTTGTCTGATGTAGGGTTTTCATAGGTTTTCAGCGTCTGTTGGTTGTGAGATAGAGACTAAAGTTGTTTGTAAATTGTACTAATTTGAGTCGGAAAGAGAGAAAAAAACCCACATATGCTTAATTATATTTATTTTTTTATTCCCAATGTAACTCTCTCTATCCTAATTCCTAAGCTTAAACCTTGGTTAATATCCTGGAACACCAAAAGAAATGATGCAAAGGAAGGACTGACTAAACCTTTGGGCACCAGACAACTCGTTTGTCACACAAAACTAACCTCAGGTCTTAGCCGGAGAACCCATTAGGCCAATTCTTACTTTTTTCTTTTTCTGGTCGAAACACAATTTCATTAAAAAACAAAAGGGAAGGGCCAACTCTTACTATTTGTGCACCAGCTTTCAGGACCGCCCTCGTTGTAGCTAATCAAAGTAATTAAGCCCTAAAGAAGGAAATTAATGGCTTATTTAAAATGACAAATTCAAAGTATGATTAATGCATTCGTCGCATTCGTCACATTCACCATGTTCACTGTGAATAATAGATAGGGGGGCTCTTCTATATGAGACTAGCTAAGAGAGCAATGATTCTCCTACGGTCCGGGAAAAAACACATGTGCCTAACCATGCACAAATATATATTAAGTTTATGAATCAAATGAATAAATTATATAATATGTGATCTCAACAATGCAGATTTATGCAAGTTTTTATTTTTCCAGAAATTTTATGTGAGTAAGGGCAAAATCATAAATTTTTTAATAAGTGGGCTAGCTAAAATTATTATTTAAAATCTAGTGACATTTTTTTTGTACGTCTAGTTTCTACAATCTTCCTAAAAATAAAGTATATATTAAATCATATAAATCACTCTAGTTCATCATTTCATTGACTAATTTTCAATAAGTTTTTATCTTTTTATATAAGCGACATTTGGGGAAGGGGGAATTATATCTATGACCTCGAGTTCAGGGCTAAATGCTAATTTTCAATAAACTTTAACATAAAACAAATACTTATTAAATGCAACCAAAAAATACATATTATAAAATGAAAAATATGTTCAACAACATAATCAAAAGCGTACCTATTTTAATGTGTATTTTTATTGATGCCTTACAATTAAATTCATAAAGAATTGGACTTTTTTAGACTTTAATAAGTTAATTCATACTCAGCTAAATCTAAAACAAGTCAAATATATATAAGTTTGATTTTTTTAATCTAAAAAACGTCCTTAGGCTACCAACCACTTTATTAATGGTGTGTTTACTAATCAAGAATTGAATTCCACCTATAGAAAATTCCTGCGTTTACTTTACATCAAGGAATTGAAAAGTAAATGAAGCCCATACAAAATTATGAATTGAATTCCTGATTTTGGAGGAATTCAATTCTTCGGTGGGCTGTGGTATTCTAATTCCTAGAGTACTAACTCATTAGGACATTTTAGTAATAAGAACCACTCCTAACCCTTAGTAAACTCTCCTCAATCTATATGGTTTAGTAAACAACTTCAATAGGAATCTGGAATCTAACTCTCCTCAATCTATATGATTTAGTAAATATTTTCAATAGGAATCCAGAATCTAATTTACATGCCCTTGGTAAGTAACTACTAACTGTGCAGAGCTGGTAAAACTTTTTCAGTCTGTATTTTTGTGAAATGAAAAAGAAAAAAGAAAAAAAATTGTTCCATTTTATTTTAATGAAAGAAAGAAAAGAAAAAGTTGTCCATCATGAATATATATCAGTGGAATGACAGTATGAACATATCCATGTCTACAATGACGTTCATGTCAATATGATCTCACTTCACAAGCAAAGATCATTCATCTCAGTATCTCATGCAATGCTCATAAAAATCTGAGTGGCTCCCTTTGCTTTAGACGGTCATTTCAGGGTAAGCCATTAAAATATATTTCTATATATTTATATATTATTATTTGCACTTGCGGTCATGATTCATGAATATGAAAACTGACCGACCCAAAAATATTATTAAATAATAATATAAATAAGAGAGAGAGAAGATAGAGGGGGAAAGAGAGAGACTGAGAGCGAGTAAACGACGGTGAAGGGTTTCAATTAAGGCGGAGACGCCAAACCAGAAAAAGAGATGAGCAGCCAAGATTTTAACGACAAGGAGATCGAAGCCTGTCAGTCTCAGAGGGCAATCGAATCAAGAGGTAACCAGCTTTTTTAGCAGTCGTTGGATGGGAAATGAGAAGCCCAGAGACTTTATGGCCCTCTCCTTTCTTCCTTTCTTCCTTTCTTCCTTCCTTTCTTCCTTCCTTCCTTCTATGGAATGTCAAAATATTACTATAATAATGTTAATGTTTAATTCATTGAGCTTCTCAAGAATGAAGATTTGTTGGTTGTAGACTTGTAGTAGTTGTAGGGAATGTCTTGAAAATTCATTGAGCTTGATGGATATCTCATGCGCATCTTGTCCTCCTCATTATTTTACTCCTTTTAATTCCAATTAAAACATAATGTGAATTTTATTTCGACTCAAGCTATGGTCTAAATTAGACTAATATTTAAACGGAAAATTGAATAGAGTTGTGGTAGTTTGTGAATTGAAAACAACTTGTATATAAATATAATATGTGCATGGGTTACATATATGGAAATTTACACCACTCTTAATACTTGAATTCGGGTGGGGGCATGAACATAAACATCAAAACATGCACATAATATCAATGGGATCAATAATGATCGATGCATGCCACAGAATTATTGGGAAGCATAAATTCCAGTAGGTTAGAAAGAAAACAACACAACCAACCACCCCCTGCACTGCCCTGCCCTGCCCTCCCACTCCCAGAAAAGGAAACAATGTGCCCTGATAATAAAATAAAGAATGACATGGGCTACAGCTTTTAACGGTTCTAGGAGAGATATCAGAAGAAACACCGCAACAGCTCTCTCTCTCTCTCTCTCTCTCTCTCATGGATGGGGGGATATGCCTTTGCCTTTCTCATTAAAATCTGGGTTGGTACTTAATACTTCGTACATGAGCATATCCCCATCCAATTCCTTTTTGGCAGATCGCACAGATTTGCTTTTACGGGTTTTACTACCGAGATAGCTCTCTGCCGAGGTGGGGTCCCTGGGGTTCGGGAGTGTTATAGCATATAGCCATACACACCTGTAAATTATGCAACCTGGTAAATTACCCAACTTTACCAGTAATTTGCAAAGCGCCATTACTTTTCTTTCTAGAGTTCTTTTTGGTTTTGGGTAAATGTTAATTACCTGTGAGAGTTATTACATAATGGTTAATTAAATCAAGAACATGTATTTATACAAAAAAGTTGTGAAACTGGCTGTTACATAAAAGCAGTACAGTTACAGAACGTACAAAATATGTCTTGGAAATAGATTAGTCACCAATCAAAAACACTGTATCCTGCAATTAGTTTCGTAATATTTACCCATGAGCATGAGTGATGACCTGATTGATGAC